TATAAGTGAATATCAACAATTAACACAATATTTGATACGAACAAAAGGGGAAATTAATAATAAAATTGCAAACAAATAATGCCCTATCAATTCCCCCCACACCTGAATCATGCTTGCCCTCAAGCATGAGGATAGCATTTGAATACCAAAATTTTGACAATGACTATCGCTCCAACTACCGTATTGCCAAGATATCCAGAAAAACTTACATCAAGTATCACAGGTCAGGATCAAAGAAAATTACTCCAGTTAGCTTCCCAACCCCCAACTTCTCCAATTTAAAACAAACTAATCTAAGAAAAAGGAATGGTTGTTCACATTTATCAGCAAATGGTCCAACTATTAACCAAAATCTCGACATTAAGATCACAAACCGGCAAGCTGACTTATTCACACACTAACACAATCTTTATTTCACTTTTTTTTCCTTTTTGTTTTTTTTTGTTTTTTTATTTTCTTGTTTTTTATTTTTTTGTTTTTTTTTTTGAATAACAAAAGACTTAATCTATAGCCATTAGAGCCTTTTGACGCGAACTCCAACATTTCACAGATGGAGGAGCCCGGTTACTCAACTCCAATCGTTACGGGACCACGCACTCATAGTAACTACTACCTTTTGACGCGAGAATCGACACTTTAGGTGTAGATCCCCGGTTACTCAATAGTAATCACTAGCGGAGTACAGTCAGCTCTTATTTAGAACCATATAGCACAATAACTAAAACAGCACAAAAAATAACAGCAGCCAGCCTCAAATTTCCAAACATGGAGAACTAAAATTAATAAATGGACCAATTCACATGAAAAATGCCAACAATCATTCCCCATGCTTAGAAAAGTTAACCAAAAATAGGAAAAGTTAAGCAATTATTGATATTCACCAAAGAGATACTCCTGAACTCAACCACATCAACTTGATACCTTTTTAATAAAACTTGGCAATAGCATAATTAGAGGCAACAATCCAGCATCAAAACTTGGTAGTCATAAAAGAACTGACCACTAGAAAAAGAAAAGAAAATAAACGAAAAGGGAGATAAATATCAAACTAAAAATAAAGGAACGACCTTTAGAAACTAAAAACAAAAATACTCGCACCCCAAACTGATCCCCCCACACCTAATTCACACATTGCCCTCAATGTGATAAACTAACAGCAAAAGGAAGGAGAAGGGTAACGGTACTTCCCTGAAATTGTCAAAACAGGAGTGGGTCGGGCGGAGTGCTACCAAATTCTGCACCATGTTATGCAACTTGCATTCGGAGTTGGACCCAGTCGTTAGCCCCTGGGGTAGGAGGAGGCTGCGAGTGTCTAGGTATTTTAAACCTAGAAGCGGATCTTAGCCTTACCATGATCTCTAGATGTCACTCTAATCACAAGGGACTACAATTGCCAACAGATAATGGAAACAGGAATTTCAAAGTAATAACAAATTTTTTTTTTTGTTTAAAACCAACCCCATGAACAATAGGCACAATTCAATCACCCACAGGTTATACGAATACCTCAACACTAATAACAAATGCAATCAATGAGCCCCTGTGGTCCAAATGTAGTCAAATTCAGAATCAAGGCAGTCCAATCATGCAACAAGTGCTCCAAATAGCTTAGTAAAGGAAACCAAAATGATAAAATGCTCCTAAACAAGGCAATCAGAGGCAACTAATTTCAATAAGCAAATTTAAGCGTAACAGGCACCTCTTAATTTAACCAACAGCCACAGCAAATTACCCACAACTCGACACAAATTATACAATTTAAACACAAATGGACCCAAAACCGTAACAACTGTCTCCAATTGGACAGTTAAATACCCAATTCAACCTGCTAAAATTAGCAATTGATCACAGAAATTGGCAATTCCAGCAACCACCGTTCAGGATTCGAAAAATAATTTAAGCACTAAGGATCAAGAAACTGTAAGTAACAATGCAACCAGTACCACTGGTGTACACACATGGAGGATTTAAATCAAATAGCAGCAACTCAATAAATATCAGTAAAATATCCCCACGTATGGCAGCAATTAAACCCAATTCCGTCCAAAATTTTACCCTAGAAATTGCCCAAAACAACACCTTCTTCTATCCAACCAGAAATCCAAACACAAATTCCAGAAATCTATGTTAATCGGGGAAGAAATTACAATACCTCCACCTGTCAATTTTGACAGGTGGTGATGGCGTGGCTGGACAAGCTGTGCGTGAGAGGCGGGGCTGTTGGCGTGCGTGAGTGGAGCTTGGGGGTGCGCGGCGTGAGTGGAGCTGCTGTGCGTGGTGGTCAAAGCTGGAGAAGAGCTGTGGCGGGGAGAGGCGCGGCAAGCCTCGGCCGCGAGCTGGCGGTAGACCGTGGGATGAGGCGCGGCTGGAGCTGGTGATGAGCTGGCTGGAGAGGGAGCTGGTGGTACCGTGCGAAGGTGGAGGGCGGAAGGGCTGATGGCAGCGCGCGAGTGGAGGGAGTTGGTGGTGTGCACGGCGCGCGGCTGGTGCTCGCGAGGTGGTGGTGGTCGTGGCCAAGGAGGAACGGCGGCACGCGGTCTGGTCGAGGAAGAGGGTGGCGCGCGGTGGAGTTGGAGATGGCGGTGGGCACGGGCGGCGGACAGAGCAAAACAGAGGAGAAGAGAGAAAGAAAAGAAAAAGAAAGAAGAAGAAAGAAAGAAAGAAGAAGGGAAAAGAAAAAAAAATAGTTTTTTTTTTTTTTTTTGCACATTCAAATTTCAAAATCCGAATTGTGAGAATCAAAACTGAAGGTGTACAACGGAAAATGTTTTAAATTTTTTTTTTTTTTTTTTTTTTTTTTAGTAAAGGAACCTCTGGCTAAGGCGTGGGCACGCTCAACTGCTATAGAGTCCGCAGATCCTGAACGAGAATTTCTTTCCCTCAGGCGTGACCACCTGGCGTGGGCACGTCTAACTGCTATAGAGTCCGCAGATCCTGAACGAAAATTTCCTCTGTCAGGCGTGACCATCTGGCGTGGGCACGTCTAACTACTATGGAGTTCGCAGAACCTGAGCGAAAATTCCTTTTTCTCAGGCATGACCACTTGGCGTGGGCACGCCTAACCGCTAATTCCCTGCCACCAAACAACAGTCAGCTTGTAAAAAAAAGTGAAATAAAGATTGTGTTAGTGTGTGAATAAGTCAGCTTGCCGGTTTGTGATCTTAATGTCGAGATTTTGGTTAATAGTTGGACCATTTGCTGATAAATATGAACAACCATTCCTTTTTCTTAGATTAGTTTGTTTTAAATTGGAGAAGTTGGGGGTTGGGAAGCTAACTGGAGTAATTTTCTTTGATCCTGACCTGTGATACTTGATGTAAGTTTTTCTGGATATCTTGGCAATACGGTAGTTGGAGCGATAGTCATTGTCAAAATTTTGGTATTCAAATGCTATCCTCATGCTTGAGGGCAAGCATGATTCAGGTGTGGGGGGAATTGATAGGGCATTATTTGTTTGCAATTTTATTATTAATTTCCCCTTTTGTTCGTATCAAATATTGTGTTAATTGTTGATATTCACTTATATTTGGTATCTGGACTTAATTCCAGGGAATGGAGCAGAAAACTACAAAAAGCAGGGACTTTTTGAAGCAAATTACTTCACAAGTGGGAGTATTCTGCGAAGCTCCCTCAACGTGTCCCACAAGAGATCAAACAAACGGCTTCCCTTTTTAGCTGATGAAGAGAAGGCTGGTACAAGGAGTCCTAGGAACATTAGGAAACAAGGAGTAATTCGGCAGGCTTTTCTTTTGAGTTTATTTGACTCTCAATCTCGGCGGGGACCACGGGATAAGAGCATTTGGAGTCATCATTCCTTTTGGACTTTAAAATGAGAAAGAAACGTACAAGGCTTGTAAATTGGAATTGGACTCTCAATTCGTGCGGGGACCACGGGATAAAGGAAAGCCTTGTGTCATGTATCCTTTTGGCTATATAAGAAAGGCTGAAGGGAGAGTTTTAGGTCAGCTTTTAACATAGTTTAGTTTTGTTTCTTTCTTGGCTCTTTTGATGGCCTGGACCTCAATGAAATTACTTGAAGATTTTCTCATGAGACGTGGCTAAGTTTGTCTAATCAAGAACAACGGAGGACTTGGTTCTACTAAATTTGTGAGATCGAATTAGTTTTTATTTATTTCCATTATTCACTGGTATTTGTCTATCTTCTGCTTTATGTTCATATGGTTGTTTTACCATTCGATTATCCAGGGCCCGGATTCTAGATTAATTCAATAACCTGAAGCCAATTAGGATAGTTAAATCCGTAATTGTTTAATTATTCTAAACTGGTGGCAACTGGCATGATTAGGTTTGTGCCAGGGAGATAGACAGGCTAACTTAAAGAGACCCTCGTAGCGTGTTGATTGGTTAGAATTAGGCTCTTCTAATTATTCATGCAATTAGGGAATTGAACTTCTATGGTCGTACCTAGGGTTATTTCCTGATTAGAGAAATAGTCAACGGTCGTACCTTGGCTATCGACAAATTGAGGAAGAGTTGGTTGTTTATCGCGTGTATGACAACTATAACTAATTTATCAGATAGTAACTGGAATAATCCTTGCATCTGTGATCGAATTAAGTGAACCATCTCCGAAGTTGTCTCTTGGCTAGAGTTCATCCATTTTTATTGTTATTGTGATAATTAGTTATTTGAGTTGTAGTTACTTTATTTTTATTTTAATTTATTCCAAGTAATTTAGTTACTCTCATTTTCAAAAACCCCCCATATCTGGAACTTGAGAAGAAATTAAATTATCCCCAGTCCCTGTGGATTCGACTCTGCTTACCGCTATATACAAAATTTGTATTTTATTTGAGCAAGTATTTATTATTGCACAGGTTCGGCACCTGTCAGAAACCATCAAAAGTGACTCTTTTGTCAAATTGCCAAGGATGCCCTAAGAGTATATGTGCAGCTTGCATTGGTACTACATCACACATAACATCATCTTCATACCTACCAATGCGAAAAGTAATCAAAACTTGTTTATGAACACGTACCTCTCCACTGTTGTTTAACCACTGAAGCTTGTAGGAACGGGGGTGCTCACTAGATGGCAAGTTTAGTTTCTCCACCATCAATGCACTAGCAACATTAGTGCAACTTCCGGGGTCAATCACCAAGCTGCATACCTTGTTGGTCACATGGCACCTAGTGTAAAAGATGTTGTCATGTTGAAACTCATCTTTACTAGGTTGAGTAGCTAGCGCCCTTCTTGCTACCAATCCAACTTTGTCTTGAGTTGGAACTTCCTCTATTTCATCTTCCTCTTCAACCAAGGGAGGCATGTCTTTGTAATCCTCCTCTTCATCATCAGTGACAATGTCTCCATTTGGTAGGACAAGCATGGTCCTTGGGTTTGGACATTGGCTTGCAATATGTCCAACTCCTTGACACCTCCAATATTTGGTGTCACGATTCCTAGGTTTTGAAGTTTCAATTGTTGGCTTTGAAACAACCTTGGAGTCGGTTTTGGTAACAGGTGGCCGTGAGCTTGACCCTTGATCTTGCTTCGGCTTTGGAGGGTTCCAAGCATTCAAACCTCTCTCTTCCCTTCTAGACTAGAATGGTCGAGTAAATGTTTGTGGATGAGGGTTATAATTTCTGGTTGTACCTCTCCTCTTGAGCCTTTGCTCAATCTTGATAGCCTTTTCCACCATATCTTCTATCTCCACATAGTATTGAAGCTCCAGTTGATCGGCTATTTCAGCCCTCGGACCATTGAGAAACCTTGCCATTGTAGCCTCTCTATCTTCTTGAATATCAGCTCTCAACATGGAGATTTTCATGTCCTTGTAGTAGTCCTCAACTGAGCGTTGACCTTGCGTCAAGGTTTGAAGTTTTTGGTACAAGTCTCTATGGTAGTGACTTGGTACAAATCGCTTCTTCATAAGTCTCTTGAGCTCAGTCCAAGTGGTTATAGGTGGTTCACCACACCTTCTCCTGCTTGTAGCCACTTGTTCCCACCAAACTATGGCATAGTCGGTGAATTCTACTACGGCAAGTCTCAATTTTTGTGCATCGGTGTAGTCATTACAATCGAATACTAGCTCTACTCGACTCTCCCATTCAAGGTATGTATCCGGATCAGATTTGCCTCGGAAAGGAGGAATCTTCATCTTAATCCCTTTGATTGCATCATCAATTGCTCTTGTGTTTCTCTTCGGTCTCCCTTGCCCGTATGCCTCACGGTCCGAATCGGCATTGGAGTCACTAGATTCTTCGAGGGTGGATTTTTCCCTAGATTTCCTAGAAGAAACCCTAGATGAACTTAGTTGATCAATCTGCTCATGGATCGTTTCCAATCTTTGGTCAAATCTCCTCTGCATTTCCTTCCACATAGCATCCATTTTAAGTGATAACTGAGCAATGGTAAGTTCATTTTCCTGAGACATGGTGAAACCTGTAAAACTTGACAAATTGTTAGTAGAAAATGCCTCACTCGCTCTCTTAAGTGTTGCACTCCTCTCGTGTTTTCACTCAAGTGTTTATGTCCCTCTAATGCACTCACCAATTCATTCCTCAAGTCTTTCGATCGTTTCCTTTGAAGAAATCAGAAATTATCTCAAAAAAAAAAATCCAGTCAAACTTTAACCAATTAGCTCCCAAATCAAAGGACAAGAGTAGAAAGGAAAACTCAATGGCGGATTTGGTAAGAAATGGAACAAGGAAAATTGATGTACAAAAAAAATGCCCAAGTACAATGATGGAGTTTCCCAAGTGTTTTACTTAATTTCCTAATTGATTTTTTTGGAAACAAGTTAGGTGTTGTACTTATTTGGAAAATTTCCTTAAAGTCGTCTAGCCAAATCAGAATTGTTACCAAAATAAATACCAGATTTCCTTTCTCTTTAACCTTCCTAAAGTCGGCTGCTAACCAAGTGCCAAACAGTTTTTTTTTTTTGGCAGTTTCCTATTCTAACCGAAACTAACCTCTGAAAATTCCAGAATTCCCTCTTCTTAAATCCCTCTCAAAGTCGGCTAGAACTTCCTAAAAATTTTTCAGATTTGGTAGCTTCCTCACCTCTAAAATTTTTCAGAATTTCCTCTTCTTAAAGCCAACCCTTGCCCCCCCAAAATTTTCGTCCCTTACTCTTCCTCAAGAACAAACAATTCGGCCCTCTCCTCTTTGCTCCACACAAGGACAGTTTCGACGCTTGGTTCTAAACAATGGCTTCACAAGTTGATACAAGCGACGTCACTCAAGAATTCCCCAAGCGGCCTGCTCAGGAAATTCCCAAGAGGTTTACTCCTAAGCCAAGGAAGCCCCGTATGGATGCAAGGACGTACAAGAAACTTTTTATACGAAGAGAGGTGCAAATCTTCAAGAATCAAGATGGTCAAGATCCTCACAAGTCTCAACGGGTGATACAAGTGATCAAGGCTCAAGGTGCTCAAGATTTTCAAGAAGAAATTGGTCAGAATTTTTAAACCCTTCCTTTGCCTTAAATTTCTGTTTTTGCGGATCAAATTCAAGGAACAAAGTGTAGCAAATCAGGTCTTGGCAATAAAGAATCAAGTTCCTTCTTTTCTTTCTTGTTCGGCCTTGTCCTAGCCGATTGTGTGTTTCCTTTCTTTTTTTTTTTTTTTTACTCTACGAACACACAATTTCTCGGCTGTTTTTGGGTAAAAGAATTTAATGTCACTCCAATGTTCTCCTTCAATCCTCCAATAACTATCAAGACATGTATCAAAATTTTGAGACTTCAAGATTAGTTTCAAGAAACTCAAGAATCCCTAGATTATTGTAGTCCCTCTTCAAGATTCCAACCCAAACAAGTTTAACCACAAAAAATCAGTTTAGAAAATTAATGAAAACAACTTGGTGGAATAAACTAAAGTTTGGACAGATTTGGCAAGAAACTTGCGCCCAAGGAAACCCTAATTGCAAGTGAAAACCCTAGCCGTCACAAAAATTTTTTTTTTTTTGTACAAACCAGATTATCCAAAGACAACCACGGCTAAGCTTGGAGGCAGATTCCAAGGAAATTCACGCAACAAAATAACGCACGAAGAGTACAAGAATCAAAAGAGAAAAATTCAATAAACGATGCAACAAGGAAACAAATAAGATGCGGCTGTTTTCTTTTTTTTTCTTTTTTTTTGTAATTGTCACACGGATTGACACGACCAGATTTGAAGAAAATACTAGAAAACTTACGAAGAAAAGAAAAGGAGAAAAACAAAGAACCTCAACGGGATATACTTGATGTCATCGACTAGCTCTTGATACCAACTGATGTGAGACGGATCTAGACGAACACCAAGTTGGGATGATTGGCGGAACTTTGACCCTTCTAGAATCACAAGCCACGAACTAAGGAGATTTCTTAACCCAAGACTAGCAAATTTAGTGAACCAAAGGTATAGATAGAAGAACGCCACAATCAAGGAGACTACTTGATTGATAAGTTCGATGAACAACTTGAGATTAATTCTCAAGTATTCAAAGGAAATTCTTTTGAGACAAGAGAGAGTGAATAAACTCACGAATATTTTATAAAAATCTGAATCCCCTTTAATGAATGAAAACCTAGGCTATATATAGCTTTACAAGACTCAAACCCTAGAATGTCTAATGGACGACCTTGCCCTTCATTAAGGGTGAAAATATCTAACAACTAATTGACTAAAATTAAGACTCTGAATTTGGCCAAAGTGAAGTGAAAATTGACCGAAATTATTAATGCTAACAAACAACTAATAATGGTAACTAAAACCCTAATTAGCAAGCTAGTGCTCCGTGAACTAGTCTTCACTTGGTTCTTCCATTTGAAGGAAAGTGTATAGAGTAGTTTCTCCATTATGTAATCCTTCAATGGTCCTCAAGTCATCACCAACTCGTTCTTGAATCGTGCAAACAAGAGCTTGAAGTGATTTCTTGAATTCTCCTAGCACGCGCTCTTGTAATTGGACCACTGGGTATTTGCATGACCTGAGCACTAGAAGTTTGAGCAGTCTTGAGCCCCTCCTCATTAACTATAACTACTTGGTTGTTTCTTATAAAAGAAAAATCAGAAGTAACCAGTACTTTTTCAATGTTTCATAAAATTATTTGTACACAATTTGAAAGTTTGATTAAAAAAGTAAGATCTGACAATGTAAGAGACTATTTTAATCAAATTCTCACATTTTTTTTCCAAAAAGAGGGTATAATACATGTGTCATCTTGTGTAGATACACCCCAACAAAATAAGATTGCTTAACGGAAAAATCGACATTTTCTCAATGTGACTCGAGTAATTTTGTTTCAACATAAAGTTTCAAAAACCTTTTGCGGGGAGGCTGTTTTAACTGCTGCACATTTGATAAATAGAGTACCTTCCAAAGTGCTAAATAATCAGAGTCTCATTACTATTCTTTCTATTTTTTTACCCTGATTTTAATGTCTCTTGCACATTGTCACCAAAAGTGTTTGGTTGTGTTGCTTTTGTACATGTTCATGCACACCAAAGAGGGAAACTTGATCTAAGAGCTTTAAAATGTATTTTTGTGGGATACTCAAACATAAAGAAACGATACAAGTGTTATCATCCATCTTTAAAAAATTTTTTTACCTCCATGGATGTCACATTTGTTGAAAATGAACCTTACTCTCAAAGTAGCAATCCTCATCTCCAGGGGGAGAGTTCTTGGGAAGATAAGGAATTTCTCCTTGATTTTCAAAGTCCTACACTAAACTTGAAGTCTTTCAAACCTGACCATACACCAAATTCCAAAGGAGAACATGCTAGCAGTGAACCTGAACCTGAATTTGAAGTTGAATATTCCAGTAAAGAAATTGAACCTGATCTTGGAGCTAAGAGAAAAACTGGTTTAAATCCAACTACACCACTCAAGGTCTACTCAAGAAAGAAAGTTCATATTTCTGAACCTGTGCAAATCCAAGAATCTGAACCACAATCAGATACCAAAAATTTTGTTCCTTTGTGTGTTAAATCCAACTACACCACTCAAGGTCTACTCAAGAAAGAAAGTTCATATTTCTAAACCTGTGCAAATCCAAGAATTTGAACCACAATCAGATACTAAAAATTCTGTTCTTTTGTGTGTTCAATTTGGCTCTACTCTTTGTGAATTTAATGATGTAGACCCACCTATTGCTGTTCGAAAAGGAACACGAGAATGCACTAAGCATCCAATCTCAAATTTTGTGTCTTCCATAGACTCTCTCCACAACATAAAATTTTTCTTACCACCATCAACTCCACTTCAATTCCACAAACACTACAAGAGGCACTTAGAAATAATAACTAGTTACAAGCTATGAAAGAGGAGATGAATGCCCTAGAGACAAATAAGACTTAAGAAATTGTAAACCTGCCGAAAGGAAAGAAAACAGTAGGGTGTAAATGGTGTTTACTTTGAAATATAGAGCTGATGGTTCATTAGAAAGGCATAAAACTTGGTTGGTCGCAAAAGGATATACACAGACATATGGGATAGATTACCAAGAGATCTTTGCATCCGTTGCAAAAACGAATACTGTGCGTGTTCTTTTGTCTTTAGCCACTAACTTTGGTTGGTGTTTACAGCAATTTGATGTTAAGAATGCGTTCTTACATGGGGATTTAGAAGAAGACGTGTACATGGATCCTCCACCAGGTTTCAATGAATTTTTTTTTGAAAAGAAAGTGTGCAGCTTAAAGAAAGCTTTATATGGATTAAAACAATCGCCAAGAGCTTGGTTCGGAAGATTTACTAAAGTGATGCTAGCAATGCAATACAAACAAAGTTAAGGAGATCATACCTTGTTCATAAAACATTCAAAAGGAGGTGTTACAGCTCTACTTGTATATGTAGATGACATTATCATTACCGGGAATGATCCAATTGAAAGAGAAACACTCAAAAAGTGCTTAGCAATAGAGTTTGAAATTAAAGAACTAGAGAGGCTGAAGTATTTTTTAGGCATTGAGGTGGCATACTCAAGTAAAGACATCTTTGTTTCCTAACAAAAGTATGTCCTAGACTTGCTTAAAGAAATAGGCAATCTTGGATGCAAGGTAGCAAGCACATCTATTGAGCCTAACTTGAGATTGAATGAAGAGAAGGATGATAACATAGTAGATAAGGGAAAATATCAGCAGTTGGTTGGGAAACTGATATACTTGTCCCATACAAGGCCAGACATAGCATTTTCCGTAAGTGTAGTAAGCCAATTTATGCATGATCCAAAGAGAAACACTTGCAGGCCGTCAACAGAATTCTATCCTACCTCAAAGGGACACCGGGTAGAGGAATTTTGTTCAAGAAAAATGAAGGATTGCTCATAGAAGCATATACTGATGCTGATTATGCAGGTTCTGTTGTAGATCATAGATCAACTTTAGGATATTGTACATTTCTTGGTAGGAACCTAGTGATATGGAGGAGTAAGAAGCAATCGGTTGTT